GCCACATGCATTCACATCAGTGTTAGCTCAGCGGTAGAGTTACTCTCACGGGACACTGCACTTATGCGCAATCACAAAACTACATTATTTCCATCTGCTTTAAAGCAATGCCGGTTAAACATTTAATTCATGTGCTGTTCTGCATGCGCTTTTTCTGAGCGTGTACTCGTGAAGCGCCACTGAGAGCCTGTAAAAAAGCGCCTGATTATTGGACTAAGTTCTTCATGCGTTTCTCTCTCAACTGTTTGCTTTCATTTCAGACATAACCAACTGTGTTTATAGGGACTCTTAAAGGGACAGTAGCTACTAAATATGCTGCCACCTGTCATTTTTTAATATTTGTACATTCAATTTCTTGAATTTTACTGCTAAATACTGTACCTGAAAAATGTTCTTATTTTCTAATAACAAAGATAAAATAATGACAAAGATTTTTATCTTTGCTCACTTTGCCTAAATGTCTGCAATTGTTTTTTATTTTATATTTTGTTAAGGTGTAAGAGGTGTTATGTTTCTGCACTCTTCCATGTTTAGCAAATTAAGAAAACTTTGTCTAAAACAACTTTTGTGATGGTTTGTATTTTTTGTGCTCTGTATGGAACATCAGTGCCTGTTTAAGTGATGAACTCCATTACTTGTGTTTGTTTTCAGACATGATAACAGACGTTTTATACTTGTGCTACAACTTTTTGGCCTGTGCTACAAAACTTTCAACCTCTGTAGCACCACTGCTATGTGAAAAAAAAGTTAACGTACAGCCCTGGATAAAGCATCATTTACACACCTAATTCTAGTTTTTTGCTGTTTGTATTTATTATTACGTGCAAAGTAGTAAAAATGTGTTTATATGACATTGGCCAACATGTTTATTTTATTCTGACCACAGTTACTTGAAGGCACAATGTCATAACTATGATTTGCAAGCTTGTAAGTAGGAACTTGCCAGGGTGACTTGCTTAAAGTGCTCCAAGTCTGAGAACATTACAAAGTTGAGTCAATGAGACATGACCCTCTTCAAGACTTCTCCCCCAGAACAAATACTGTATTCAGGAAGTGTTGCAGGAGAGCTGTTGGGTGAACACTATCTTCTCAGTTTTTATGGTCTGTCCGTTTGATCTCACCCAAAGCTCAGTGTGTGGGGTGCCAGTGACTGAATAAGGCTCTTTCTTGTCCAGCGTGAGAGTTTTCTGTCTGGCAACCCTGAATCTTGGGCTACACTTTACTGCACTTGCTCTTGTTTCACACTCATCCTGGGTTGTGTGTGTATACAAATAACTACACACAAACACACACACAACCTCTCAGGTTTGGGATCAGTAAGATATTTAATGTTTTGAAAACAAAACTGTTGGGCTCACCAAGGCTGCATTTATTTAATTAAAAATATTGTTAAGTATTATTAATTTAAAAAAAACTATTTTTGTTTGAATTTATTTTAAATGTAATTTATTCCTGAGATGCAAAGCCGAATTTTCAGCATCATTACTCCAGTCTTCAGTGTCGCATAATCCTTCAGAAATCATTCTAATACGCTGATTTGCTGATGAAGAAATTTTTTTTATTATTGTCAATGTTGCAAACAGCATATATTGTGCTTATTAATATATTGTGGAAACTGTGGTAATTTTTTTCAGGATTTTTTATTGAAAAGACAGTCTAAAAGAACAGCATTTATTTGAAATAGAAATCTTCTGTAAGATTATAAATGTCTACTGTCCATTTAGATCGATTTAATACATTTTATTTTAATAAAGATATTTTAATTGTAAATATATTTTGTTATATATATATATACACACACACTCAGTCAAGCCAAAAATTATTCAGACACCAGATAATTTTATATATTTTTATTTTTTTTTTTTTTTTTTTTCTCTTGTGGCCACAGGAGAGAAGCCAAAAGCTTTTTTCCCCCTAACTGAAATTATGCCTTTTAAATTCGAATATAATTCGAATTTTGATATTAAGTAGAAAATTCGAATGTAGTTTTTCAGTCATTTTGACAGCCCTAATATATATATATTACAATTTTAAATGTCATTAAAGGGGGTTTGATATGTCTGTGTGTCGTGCCACAGCAGGATTAAAGTCTCCTTTCCCAACACCTCCAGTCCTCCGGCCCTCGTCTTATTTGTTTTATTTAAACCAAAGCTTCCAGCTTGGCCAGGAGTAGACAATGATCTCTCCCTCTCTCTCTATCTCTCTCTACACCTGCTAATATTTCAAAATCACTCCACCCAGTTTTCATGCCTGTTTTTGTCTGCTCTTGTTCATGCAAATGGTTTATGAAGGATAAGTGACAGGATGCATGCCCTTTTCTCCATCTTCAATGTTTGCACATGAAACGCTTGGCCGTAGATTTTCAGTTTTTTTTGTATGGGGGTGAAAAAATGCAACCGAGAGCCAAAGGGAAATGGAATCATTCCACATCAGGAATGCAGCATCGCATGCTGGCTGTTTCCTCTGGGCCATGGCCCCGCTGGTCCCTTAGCTGTCGTGAGGGTTTGCCGGAGCACGAGGTCTCGTTGCCCACGTGCTGCGACAAAGCACTGCATTGTTGACTATGTTTAAAGCACAGCATTCAGCATATCTGTGAGCCTCCGTTACAGTGCAAACACAAGCTTGCTATTAATGCATTTATCGCCAGGTAGCCATCGGTGGTCCCTGAAAACAATAACTAGACCAGAAATAACTCCGTGAAGATGTGGATTTATTGTATATGTTCTCCAAAATCCCACTCCACATAGGAGTGTTAAACATCAAATGTGATTTTGTAGCTCTGCACTATTTCACTTTTGGTGAGGACAGACAAATTACTGAATTCTGGAAACTGGTGGCTGGAAACACTTTCTCAAATGTTTAGTTTTTTATTCTATATATATTCTGAGAAAAAAAGTCAAAAATGCGAGATATAAACGAACCTTTCTGAGGGAAAAAAGTCACAATTATGAGATATAAACTCAGTATTCTCACTTGCTACCAAGTTTGTCTCGCGATTCCGAGTTTATATCTCAATTCTGACTTTTTAGTGGAGTTTGAGAACTCAAGAGTTTGTCTCACAATGTTTTTGTTCCTCCACAAAATAAAAAATAAAAAGGTAATTGCAATGTTTGTATTTTTTTTGTTGTTGTTGTTTTTAAGCTTACATTTTTTACCTTTTTTTTCTCTCGCAATTGGGAGTTTATATCACAATTCTGACTTTTCTTCTCAGAATTGTGAGTTGACAAGTTAACGAGTGAATTGCAAGTCAGAATTGCAAGAAAAAAAGCCCAAATTGTGAGATAAAAAGTCTCAATTACTTTTTTCTTTTTTTATCCTGTGGCAGAAAACAAGCTTCCACAATATGCACTGTAAAAAAAAATCTGTAGTTTTTTCAAAATCATTTTGGCAGCTGTGGATTCCAGAATAATTTTGTAAAAAATGCAGAAAAACCGTAAACACATTTACAGAACAAACTGTACATTTTACAATATTTTACTGTTAAAATTTCACTCATTTTTACAGTGTGTATATATATTGTTGCTGTTTTATTTATTATTTTTTTTCCATTTTAAAACATCATATATATGTGGGTCAAAGACATTAAGATGTCCGCATCAAAATAAATTTACAAAGGTGATTTTATGTCCATAGAAAGCACATTAAATGTAAGTAAAGTGTCTACTTTTAAGGTTTCAAACAAGTTTTTGGAGAATAAAATGTCAAAATTTGGTTGAAATAATGTTACATGGTCATTATGCTTAAACCCTTTTTCGTCTTTGACCCATGTACATAATTGCAATTTCGTTTTTGTTTTTCTGAGTATATATATACTATCCAAAATCATTTAGTATAGAGTTTTCATGCAACAGTAAGGTTTAACCTGACATTTTTTTTATCTTTCTTTCAGTTGGACCCTCTTTCTGAAGACGTGCTACAACAGAGGCCGAACCCCAATGCTATTCACTCCATGGAGAAAGTTCTGGAAGTCCACAGTGAGTGCACGCAAAGCTTCACAGTTCATTCACAGAAGGCCTGATACATATTGTACACTACTGTTGCAGCAATTATTGTAGTGTAGTCTATTTTATATAAACTTACCCATGAACAACCTGTAAAAATTGTGATTGGCTTCTTTTATACAACAGTTCGTTCTGGTTCTCAAATCTGATTGGTTGAGAACCGTGAGATATTATACTGATATCGCTACAGGAACGCCCTTTCACAATTTTGTATCACTCCGCTTGTTCTAGCCGGGTCTATGTTTTTTTTTTTTTATTATTCACTGAGCTAATCGTAGAGTACGTTAGTTAATATAAGAAGAAACGTCTAGCTTCGCGGTCTCTCTCTCTCTCTCTCATTTGGATGCACGTCTTGCCGCATTGTTTCTCTCTTATAACCTCATTATTTCTCACTAATAACCTAACTGAAGCAGCACATGCCCTTGATATGAATTCTAAAAGTGACGTATGTTTAACTGTCAACTTGAGCTTTGAATCTGTGGCGGAAGGAAGTAGTTCCGCACAAAAGAGGGTTTTATTAGACACTCCGTTGTTTCTTGTTTAATTACACACATGTTCCGTCGAACTGTTGTATAAACGCAATATCACTCTCGTACTCGAGCGATACCGGCTCTATATCAGTGGCTGTGATTGCCTGCAGCCTCGTGCCTCTGGCCTAATCACAGCCATGCTGATATAGAGCCGGTATCGCTCGAGTACGAGAGTGATATTGCTCATATATATCAATTATAAAGAGTTGTCTTCTTGAAGTAAACAGTTTCTCATGGGAATATTCTGCAGTATAGAGCAGACTTTATGCTGTTTAGTCATAACTCTGGCATGCATATGATGTCTTTGCATGCTACTTGACGTCTTACACCTGTAAATAAAGTGCTGTGTCATGTTTAAGGCTGAGCTTTGTGCTTAGGTAAATACTGGCGCTCGCTGCAGAGATCTGCCTCGACTCTGGGCTACTCGCTGCTGGAGGCTCAGAGATGTGAAACTGAAGAGGCAGAGACGGTGACCGCCATGGCCTCCCTGTCTGTGGCCAACAAGCACATGGGAAAGAGGTGCAGTTATAGCTGAGTTTGTCATATGGCACATTCCACAAATACCGCTTTGGTCCCATTACTCGTTTTTTGTTGTTGGAATTATTTGGTATGTTATACAGTATAAACTATTATTAATATTTATTTTATTATTTATAAAATAATGATGTATTTATATTTATATATAGTTATTTTAGTAGCATTAGGATTGTATTATAGTTCTCATTGCTATTTTTAAAAAGTTTTTAGATTTCCCATATTCATTTAAAGTGTTTTTGGTTAGTTTTAATCATTTTGTTTGTTTTTGTCATTTTAGTAGGTTTTGTTTTTTGTTTTGTTTTTTACGTATGTCTATATAGTTTTTATTTGTGTTTTAGTTATTTTAGTACATCAAGTTAAACTGAAGTAAAATGAGAAATGTTGCCTTGGCAACTAGCTGAAATAAGTTTTTAATATTTTTACTTAACATTTATTATATTTCAAGTAATACATTTTTTTATGGTTTTAATTTTAGTTTTAGTTAACTCTAATAACAACCCGTATATATGTGTTAATATATTATAATTTTACAATTATATTATAAAAATGTAAATTATAGTGCTGTCAAATCGATTAATCACGATTAATCACTTACCAGATAAAAGTTGTTGTTTGCATAATATATGTGTGTGTGTACTGTGTATATTTATTATGTATATATAAATACACACACATAACAGTATATATTTTGAAAATATTTACATGTCTATATTTATATTCCTATAATTAATATTATAAATAAATATATTTCATATATAAACATAAAGTAAATTAAAATTAATATTATCTAGAAAATAACAAAACCACATCAGAAATTCAGCAAAAACCCCAAAATCAGTTTTAAACTATTTAGACCTGTCTCAACATTTCCAAGCATGAATGAAAATAAAACAATTCATATAATATTTAGATTGACTTCCAGCATTTTGTTAAGGTTAAGCACCTCCTTTCATTGACAGTTTGCTCAAAAAATGACTGACAAATGAGTTTCAGTCTGTATTATTCCTGGAAAGTGGCATATATTTGCTCATAGCAGGCCGCCTGAGTGTGTCTGTTTCTGTGACCCGTGAGTATTTATGATTGTGTGGGGGCTCTGTGATGGGACAGCAGTGTTCTAGAGGTGCAGGGCAGGTGATAAGCAGGCGAGACTCTCTGAATGTGTGCGGCTGGTGCGGGGCAGACGTCCAGCAGCGTCAGGCTTCTGAGAGACACACTCTGCCAGAGTCCTAATTGAAAACACTCAGGCAGCATTGAGCACAGATGCTTGAGGTTTCTGGACCTTCCTCACACACTCACACCCTTACACACGTGTATTCATGTGCCTAGCAAGGTTCAAATTCACATTATTTCCTGTTATTCCTATTAGGGGCCAAGTGCAGAAAGTGTGTTGACACTTATTATAAGTATTGATTTTCCTAGTTTAATATTCTGTTTTCTGGCTGGGCGTTTGGCAGACTCATTTTGGAGGGTCTCAAACACTCTTGTGCCACCAGAACACAGTTCAAAATTTCATGAACATTTTAGCTTATAACTTTTGAAACAAAATTCCTTTTTTTTTTTTTCCACTCCTGACCCTGAATTCCATTATTCTGGCTGTTTCAATTTCCTCCTGATTTCCTCAAATTCCCAAATAGAACATTCAAATTTTGTTTGACTCCGCCATGCACCATTTCTGTCCTTTTCCATGAATTTGCATACTGTTTTTACTACTCATACAAAACTGGTTCAGGTCATATTCAGACTAAGACACAAAAGCCATTAAATTGATTTTTAGCGTCTTACACCTTTCTCCAAAAAAACCTGCGAATTTGACACCAAACAGGAAGTGATGCATTAACACTGAAATTAGTGTGTATAGTGACCCCAAACTTTGTACATATTGCCAAAGGAATACCATATAAATCCAAGTACAGTGCCTAAATAAAGCCAAAATGGAAAATCTGCACTATTTAAATATAAATACATTAGCACCTCCTTACTGAAGGATGCCAAGTAAAGTCTTTTTTTTTAAACACTTTTTTTTTTTTTTAATTGTGTAATTGTTTTTATTTTTAACTAAAACTATTAAAATGTTAGTTGAAATTAAGCTGAAATAAAATAAAATATAAATATTGGATGAAAACTTGAAATTTTTATGAAATTTAAAAATGTATGTTGCCTTAGCAGCTAACTGTAATAAGTTAAATTAGTTCAAAAAGTACTAAAATTACTGAAACTAAATTTAAAAAATAGAAATATAAAAAAAATTATAATAATAATAATAATGACAAAAACATGTTACAAAATTACAAAAAAAATTAAACTAACATTAAAACTAAGAATATAAAAATAGAAGCTAATTCAAAATCTAAATAAATACTATAATAGTATATAAATAATATTAAAATACATGTACACAGGTGTTCCCAGAGGCAAGGAAACCTGGAAATATCTTGGAATTTTAAAATTGCGATTTCCAGGTCTAGGAAAAATATTCAAATAAATCAGATCTTAAATTCATGAACATTATATTGTGGAAATAAATTTATTGTACTTGTCAGGGTTATTATAGTTAACTAAAAATTAAAAATAAAACTAAATCCATAAAACAAAAACATTTTCGTTAAATATTTAAAATATTTTGAAAACAAAAACTATAATACTATAGTAGGGCTGGGTAAAAAATATCGATATCTCGATTTTAATCGATTCTCATTTTTACGAAACTATATCAATTCTTAAATTCCAAGAATCAATTAGTCTAGCCTGGTTTCAGTTAATGGACGGAACGTTGAAGGGCACCTCCCATCCGATAAATCACAATAAGCATTGTGCGTTGGTACTTTTAATATGAAACAAAGTCTCTGATTTCAATTTATGTCCATTGTATTGCAGTATTCAAACAATAAATGCCATTTTGGTGCTGTTTAATGTATAGTGACCGCTGCTGTAGCGCCTCGATCAACAGAAACGGCAGCACGTAGCGCATGTGAAGTAATCGCTCAATCAGTGTTTCAGCCGCGCAAAGACGTCAATATAACGGCTAGTAAACAATGTCACGTAACGTCACATTTACCTCAGAAACAAACATATTCGGTGACCATAAACTCGTTAGTCAGCCAGAAAAATAAACTGTAGAGAGGAGCATTTAGCTAAATATATGCACCATATAACATTCATTATAATTTTTTACTGTTCTTTAATGTTTTATTTATGTTTGAATAAATCCGTCCAAGTTTTTATGACAGCCACTATTTAAATGTGTATATTTCCAAAAAACTAACCAAAGTAATTGTAACCTAATTTTCTAACCTTCATTAAGTGCAATTTAAGCAGTTGTACAGCACAAATCAGTCAATTTTAACCTTCAGTATTATAGTAATGCAGTACCAACTGACTCTCGTGTATATTTTACAGCATTAGTTGAGAGATTTTTTTTCCCTTAAGAAAATTTGGCATGCACTGTACCTAATATGTATCCAAAATAATTGAAATCGAATCAAATTGGTAATCGAATCGAATCGAATCACAAGCTTGTGAATGAGAATCGAATTGTGAAATTTGTACTATAGTACCAGCCCTATACTATAGTATACCAGATACAAAAATAACACTGGTACTTGTGCTTGGCTCGAAAATATTCAATTGCTGATTATATTCAAATGTATTCAATTTACATTTACATTTACATTTACATTTAGTCATTTAGCAGACGCTTTTATCCAAAGCGACTTACAATTGGGGGATACATAAAGCGATTCTTCTTAAGAGGCAAGTTTTGATACTTCTGCCTCAGTGAGGGGACAGAAGGAGAAGATGGGAGTTTTTGCAGTGGGTGTGGTTGGTTTGAAGTCCTGTGTGTGTGGGGCTGAGAATTGAGCCCCATTTATTTAATTTTTTAATTAAATAAATAAATTTAATTTAATTTTTTTTAGATATTTAATTTATTAAAATATCTGGAAAAGTCATGGAAATTCACAAGTGAAAAGTTGTTTTGCTCATGTGTGACGTAATGTTTGTGTATGTGTGTCGCCCCACAGAACAGAGGAGGAGCCTATGGAAGAGGAACCTCCATTGTAGAAGGTCCGATCGACTGCCTTGGTGACCCTCTTGGCTCAGAGCCTCTTCAAGGCCTCTGACGTCACTCTACTCTCTCCATCCGTTTCATTTTTTGTCCCACGATGTGCGCGCTTTGAGCACGGGATCCGAAACGGCCTGAAGAAATCTCCATGACACCCAGAGTTCGACAAACGTCTCAGCCGTGTTAGTCTGTCTCTGTCTGTGGCAGAACGTCCGGGATTGTGCAACCTGGTCTGTCCGCAGGGACACTTAACTTTTGAGCAGGACATAGACTCACGTTTCGTTGTTAGATGTGAGAGCTGGTGCTTTCGACATGAACTTTTTCATTATTTTCCAGAGCCACTATAAGACTGATTTCGGCTGTTACGGCCTACGTTTTTTTATTTGTCGACTCTCTCTGTTCGTTTGTCTGTCTTTCTTTTATTCTTGGAGAAAAAAGTGACTCATTCCATTCGCAATTCTAGTTACTGCTTCACGAGGGTGGACGATGTGATTGGGAGAGAGATCGAAAGATTCTGGGAAGCCCAACAGAAAGTCAACAATGTGAGTTTGTGCCTTTTGCAAAATAGTTTCCGTGATGGATCCAGAAGAACATTGCCTTAAACTAGTTAAAAGAGGGAAAACGTTTCGCCGTCTCGGTTTTTCTTGACACCCGACGGTCAAAGGCTGGCCTGAAGAATCGAGAAACCCTCAGCATGTTTACCAGGAACTCCCTGCAGATATCTTCATGTTTCACACACATTATGACCTGTTTTATGTTCCTTCATTTTTATTGTGCTTGTGTTGGACGTTACATGACTTTAAGTGTCACTGACAAATGAACTTTAAGGTAGTTGCCAGCTATCCAAGGGCAAAACGTTCGATTGAATTCTCCAGCGCTTTAAAAGGCAAGCCAATGTAGCAACTCGTTTCAACTCTAATGACCAAATACGCGCCTCCTCCTATGAAAAGTTGACCGGCATGCAGCTTTCCATCTGCCAAGTTAAGAATTCACCCGTCGTAGTTTAACAGCGCCGACAAGCATGAGTTTGCTGTGAGCATATAGGATAGGGCTGCGATGACCACGCGTCATACGATTTGTAGTTCGAGACAGACTTTCTATTTTTCCTTCTCTCCACATGTTGTACTTCTATATAGCTATGAATGTCTAGTATTTCGGTTACTTTACAGTTAATCAAAGGGCACTAGTGTATCACTACTATTATTCTACTCAGCAGATGGTCAATTTTATTGACACCTTTGAAACAAGCGGAAAAGGGCTGGTTACCGATTTTAAATGTACCACTGAGCCTTCAGACGTGCCACCTGGTGAGATTTAGCGCTGGTTTCCCGCCGACAGGCCTGAGCGAGGAGGGTTATGGGCCTTTCGCTAGGGGCAGGTGCTACCGAACATGTGCCCGTCGCATGACACAATCCAGGAAGTAGCGGGACCACCAGCTTCCACTCGGAAAACAATCATAAAACGCCTCTGAGACAACTGTGATACTCAGACAATCTGCATGGGACATTGACGTAGTTTCGGAGCCACAGCGGTGCTTCGAAGCGGCACATAGAACTGTATATATACGCAATTATGCATGCTGACAGTAGATCATTTGGCTTGACTTTGATTGTACATTGAACTTTTTGATTCTGGACTGATGAAGAGGCGATAATTTGTTTGACAACCCCTGACTCATGTTTAGCCTCTCGGCAACTACCTTTGGCATTCTTTTTCCGTGTGTCATGTTCGATATGAGACGCATTAAGGCGGGAGATTTGACTCACCATTGCCATTGTTCCTCGACTTCATCTTTATATATGCCTGTCACGTATGACTACTCCACTTTGGGTTCATGCCTGTTATTTTCTTAATAGAGCTCATTTGTCCTGTTTTTTTTTGTTGTTGTTGTTGTACTTTTTGGATTATTTACTTGTTTGTCAGTCTGTATGTAGTTGACCATGTGTTTTACATACATCTTTAGTTTCTTGTTTTAGAGAGTAACATGCCTTTTTTAATTTGTTTTATTTAGGGTTTTTTTTGTATGCGGTGGGAGGGAGATGCTTTTACTTTGTATAATGATTCCGACAATTGTGTATTTACTACATTCTGTTCATAGTAGATTTATATTACAAAGATCTATAGATATATTATATATTATTGCAGACTCTTAATAAGAAAACTAGTATTGCAAAATGATATATTTCAGTATGTGGTCTGGCTTCGGCCGTTGCTGGTTCCACTTGAAGGCACTGTTTATTGGTTTCATGCATTCGCAGTAGCATTACTCTGGCACCGTAAACTCTTGATCAAACGGATCTTCGTGGTTTCAAGCTTCAGTTTGACAGAGTGCTCTCTAAACTCTAAAACATAAATATTATGGACTGACACTGTACATTTCCATTGGTTAAAAGTCCATTTGGATAGACCAACTAGAGTAGATGCTGACATCATAATGATCCTTCTGTGTGGTACATCCAAGATGGATTTAGTTATTTTTGCGTATTTTTAAGGTTTGAATAACTTTAGCCTTTCAAGAACATTTCCAGGTCATATTTCACCCAGAAAAAGGACATAAGAAATTACATTTTGCTTTTAAAAAAAACAAAAACAACGAGGCCAACAAAGCAAAACAGGCTCAACCAATGGTGTGAGTTTGGGGGCGTGGCTGTCTGTTTAATCGACCAATGGCAGACAGTTTCCAAAATAAGTGTTTGAAAAGAATCATTACTTGGAGGTGTAGAAATTACACGCACTTAAAAAAAAATCATGTAGAAACAATTATCACTCAGAAATTGATAGTAAATACACAAATAATTGCAAAGAAACAACACGTTGAATATAATTTTGAAGTAGAAAAACTAAAATTGATTTTCTTGTAAAACATGCTCTAATCATTTTTGTTTTATCTTCAAACATTCATTTTTACGGTGCACTTCAGCTTTGAATGTGAAATAATACAATTCTTTAAATTAAAAAAATTGTTATGCTCATGAGATTCTAATGAGAGTTAACAAAAACCTGATAAGTCCTGAAAATTTTGGGGGGAAAATGTGCATAATTATCATGAAAATAATTTCATTTTTTCATTTTTTATAGTTTCTTTATGCAAAATATAATTTCTTATTGACCTCCTTTTGATTTTGGGGTGAAATGCTACCTGGACATGATTTTGTGACAGTTCGTGTTTAATTTTGCGGTAATGATATCAGCAATCGTTCTCGGGGTTTTTTTCTGTTTTGTCAAATCTTGTTACTCCTATCAAGCATGATCTATTTTGGGCATTTTTGCAGTATCCATATCCAGACCAAGCCCATCAAATCTCATCTGAATTACTTTCAAGGATGAAGTGCGAAGGCTGACACTGATTTGAAAGTGTCCAGGAAATGTAAAGTGACATTCCCAAAGAGTCTCATAATAGTAATACTCAACCGGACCATCACTACAAACCACTCTGCAACAATACTAACAGCAGCCTATCAATACAGTCTTGTCAAAGGAACACTTCTATCTGGTCATTTTCTTTGCTCTTGTTTTGTAAAACTAAAACTGCATTCCATTAATTTTTCCTTTTTCTTTTTTTTTTTTTTTTTTTTTTTTTTTTACTTTTTTTTTAATGTTTTGCATTGACATTTGCATAGATTTTTGTTTGTATATGCTGTCAATTATTAAAAAAAAAACGGAATTGGGCAAAAATTGGTATCGGCAGGTCACACTTACAAAAAAAACGGAAATCGGAATCGGCCAAGAAAATTGCAATCTCTGATATATATATATATATATATATATATATATATATGTATGTATATTATATATTTTTTAATTCAAAAATTAATTGTATTCTGAAGCACAGTATAACACTCTTAAATGAGATATTTAAAAAAAGAACTGAACAAAATTAGAGAACACTTACAGATACATACAAGTTATTGGTGTTAATCTGGCACCTGGTGCTAATTTCCTTTATTATATGACAAACCCTATTTAACTGGTAGCATTCCTCGAATTTTCACTGAGATTGCTAGATAGTGGGCCGCTCTAAGGTTGACTGAAACCCTGCGACAGCAGGTTGTCTCTCAATGGGAAGTCGGTTCAACACTGCAGCTGGAATTGCTTGCCAGTTCAGTGCTGAACAGGGTAAGGATCTGTCTCAGCACGTTTAAGAGAAGTCGGACCGAAACCAGGGTGAAGTTTCTTTCATTCTCTTTTACCTTCATAGCTGTAGATTTCTGCATGGTTTGTGCGTCAGCATGCCTGTTTGTCCTTGTAACATATTTGCACAAAGGAGGAACACGGGAGGGTTGAGGCTTTGGAGAATGCATGGGATGGAAGCTCTTCTTTCCTCCTCTGTTTCTGGTCAGTACACAGACGGATTGATGCTCTTGGTGTCCGACAGATGTGCTTTTTACTTGTTTAAAAATGGAATGAAAGAAAAATGACTTTTGAATACTTTACAACAACAACCAGAAAGTTATCTAGCACTTGTGACATACAGACTATAGACTTGATTGTATTTATGTAGAGCATTGTTTTAGGTGAACTACACACTATGCCACATGTTAGACTGTCTGTGAGACTTCTTTTGCTTTCGTTTCTTTTCTGGTTTTTCTACTCTTCCTCGGGACATATTTTTGGGGCTGGAGGAAGACTAGGAAAAGATTAGGGTCGTTCCTTTAGAAACATCTGGAATCATCAAAGGGCTTTTTCCAGATGCTCGTCAGATATATCTTCAGTTTGTCCAAAAGGGAAAAAAAACAAAAAAACACTTATCAGCCAGTAATACCTGTGACCACTGTGGCTCGAGAACAGTTCTAGGTTTACAAAATGTAAGAAATGCATATTATTTTTGTCACTTTGTTTTTCCATTGTTACAATAGAACTTTTTTTGGGACCTTTGCTCTAACGTTTGTCATTGACATCAACTATAAAGTACCTTGTTTTTGAATACCACGATGTCTTGTGTTTATTTCCGAGCACGTTCTTTCACTGAATGGATTTACATAATGCAATCAGGGGCTCTAATAATAATAATGGTAAAATCATTTTAGTGGTTTAATGCCATATTCTCTACTAAGATCACTTAAGTAAGGTCATTTTTATTTTTATGTTCTTTGATCCCAATTTTAGATTGATTGTACACAGTCATAAGTTGTAGTACATGTGGTCTTCCATTCGAAAACCAGAAAACGTTGGTATGATTGACCAGGGCCTATTTATTTATTTATTTATGTATTTATTTATTTTCTTTCACAACTCTCAAACTACAACTTTACCTACCATCTTTTGTTAATACATTTATATAGAATTTAATATGTAATATATTAGAAAACTTTTAATATGTTATTAATACAAATCTGTCTCGGGACGTTTAAGAGAAGTCGGACTGAAAGCGCACTCTGCAGAGACCAAGCTTCTCATCACCAGAAAGAATCAAAAGGCTAGGCTCGCCTTTGCTGAGGAGCATGTTGTGTGAAGAGAGGTGAACTGATCCAAAGTTTACTTTAGTGATAGCAAGTTTAATTTATTTGGGTCTGATGGGAAACATTATGTTCATCGTCAAACTGAGGAAAGACTGAAGCCCAAGTGCGTAAAGATGTCAGTGAAAGGTGGAGGAGGAAGTGTCATGCTTTGGGGGATGTTTTCTGCAGCAGGAGATGGGCCTCTTATACAGCTACATGTCAGGTGAATCCAAATGTTTATCAGAACCTCTTTCAGCAACACGCGGTACCTTCCCTGCAATTTTCATGCAAGATAAAGCTCCCAGTCACACTGCAAAATGGGTAAAGCAGTTCCTTGAACCTAAGAACATTGAAATAATGAAATGGCCAGCCCAGAGTCCTGATCTAAACCCAACTGAAAATCTCTGGAAAATCCTTGGCGACAAACGTTATGGCTAATGCTGCATTCAAGTCCTCCTGGGATGGTCGTACTTATGAGTTGACAAGTCGTAATTAAGACGTCAGGTGCGTTCAAGTCAGTTTAGTCGGCACAAGATGGCGGTGTACCTTCTTTTAATACATTACAAGA